TTTACAACAAAGGCCTTCGGCCTCACAAATCAAACTCTATCACGGACGATAACAAATAATCTATAAGTTTCAGCTTACAAACGAAAACGAAGTTTAACAAAGAGAAACCAAACCAAACTTATCCTACAAAAGCTCGAGGTTCGTAAACTCAGGGCTCGGCTCTGCTACTCTGCTCAGTTAACTACTGTATGGGGGCCCAAAACAGAAAACGTGTGAGTGGGCAAAAACAAAGTTTGATTTATCTTTCAAAACAACATAATAACCCCACCATTTACAAAATAATGCCAAAACATTCATTTGATACCATAAATATGAACTCAAAGTGGATTCAACATGTTCTCACTTTCTTGAGAACATATGATCATAACCCAAAACAAAACCTTTTGACTTTAAACCAAACTTCTTGAAGAAAATGACTTCCAATGACATATGTAAGAATATTTTTCAAATATTCCATTAATGCATTTAAAACACACACACACACATATATAAACTAATATAAGCAGTTATGTAAATCCAAAATTATGATAATATATTCTATACTGGTAGACACCTCAAAAACCAATAGTACATGAGGTATACGATATACATATAGTATATAAATAGGTATAAAAGTATCACACAAACTTGAGTACCGGGGAAAATAATCCAACATGGGGATTGTTTGGCTAGCCCAGAGGATTTCAAGTTTCTACCATGCATCTAGGGATGAGTGGTCCAACCAGGGGACTAACACTCTACAGCACACACGCTGGAAGTTCCACGCCACGTGTGGCCAAAACCAATCAGTAAGTCCTACGCGTGCAGACAACATCATCACACGCCGAATCATCTAACGTCACATGTGATAAACTACATCAAACCATATATGCCCACACGCCGGAATCATCCAATGCCATGTGTGGGTACAACAACCAAGGGAGGGTATTTAGCATAGTGCAATCACATAATCCCATAACCAACAATATAGTACCCCAAACTCATATTAATAATTTGCCCAAATACTTCATCATAGTATGAATTGCAATTTCTCAAAACATAAACTCCATATCCAAAAACAATCATGATTCTCAATTATCGAAATAGGCAAAATTCTCATTAAGCAATATATATAACCTTATATATATATATAAATATCCCATATTCCAAAAAATTCATGTTTAATGCATATTATTTCAATCGATTAAAATCATGCACTTTCAAATAAAGTCCACTCACAAGTAATCCCACCCTGCTTGACCATGAGAGGGTCCTGCCTGCTGCGTACACCTGGTCGGAGTACTTATTTCAGAATATGAACACGCAATTAATACAAAAAAGCTACGAACGAGAAACTTTTGAATTATAGAATGTATTTTTTTTATTTTAATAATAAGCATCCCATAAATTAGGTTGCATGTTTTGGATGTTTTGACATTATTAGTTCAGATATCAGAAATTTCCCTTTCAATGTTGAAATATATAGGAGAAAAGAATGCAAATATATGTGAAAAGGACATACAAGTTCAACTTGGATTGAGCCATCACATTGTTATTCATTACACCGATTGTTCCATTCGGAAGCATAGAAGACAGTACATTAATGTTCCTTTCCATATCTTATTTTATAAACTGGATATATATAGACATCAACAAATTAAACTGTTTTACAATTTGTATTTTCTTCAAAGAATTTCGGGCTAATTAATAACTATTGTTTGTGCCAAAATCGGGATTTACTCATTAATTTGAATAAAATTTGTCGAATTAATATGAACCCTTAATTTATCTAATTATAAAGAAATCAGCTGTTGGGCTTAATATGATGATACCTGTATACGTAATCAATTACTCTTTAGTTTTCTAAGCCTAAAAGGCCTTGTAAATTTCTAATCATCGTTTTCTTTTCTGGTATGAGCTAATCATCAATCAACCAAACTAATTGCTTTTTTTTCATTAACTTGAAAGCATAATTACCAGATTCCCGGCCTCTTCTCCACTAAGCTTTAATTTGTTTGTTGGTGGCTTGATATGCTACTTGAACCTAATTTACTTTGATGGTCTGAGCTAGTCATGTTGGCATGCATAAGCGTGTACTGTTTTGACAAAATTAGAGCGTCTAATTCAAAACTAGTTAGCAACGAATGAAGAGACCAATGTGTTATAGATACTCTTAGTTTAAATTAAAAGTGGGAGTGAATTTCTCACACACACACACTACTAATTACTAATTAGGTGCTATCAGGGTTCAAAACCTAAGACTATCGATCTGCAAGTCAAGGCCATTTTTCACTGGGCATGTTATATATACTTCACATTTTTAAGCTTAACCAATTTGTTTTCTGCTGAAGGGTGTGAATGTGTGGGAGTGAGGTGTTTTCTTATGTTGCTAGAGAGAGAGGGAAAGATGATGATGTGATTTAGATGTTAGCACATTGCCAACAATAAACAAGGAATACTTTGGAAAAGGATCCTCTAATATATCTAAATCCTACCCCATATATTCCAACTTTAGGTTACACAAAATCTTGTTTCACTGTTTTCTTTTTTAGGCTATCTTTTGAGCTTATATTGGGAACATGATAACCCCACCAAGAAATGTTTAAAATCTCCTTATAAATTTCACCCTTGAAGTTTCATAAGATGTGTTCCTGTCTGCCATCATTTGGTGGGAGAAAATGTAAGCTTCCACCTAAGCTCAAAGTGAAAGGAAAGGAAAAACTACTAATTATATTCCTCCACCCATGTCAAAGTTTGGAACATATATAGCTTTAAAGAAAATAGCTTTTTATACTTGATGATGCCCTTGTCGGCCATGATTCCACCATCAAAAGAAACCATTTCTTTATTTTCAAAACCTTGTAGGTTCTTTGTATATATACTGAAGATTTTTTTAGTGCGAGATTTTAATTATTCAAAATAATAATAATAAGTACCATTATTTGGATCCGCATATACTTTTGTGCATGCATACACATAAATAATCTGTAAATGAGGCTGAAAAATGGGTGCACCATCTACTTAGAGAGGGACCCACCAATGAAATAAGAAGGTCCATAAAAATGCGTATATTCATGCTAAAAATCATAGGCCTTACAGACAAAAAAAAAAGCTAAAAATCATAGGATTGCTTAATATTTTTAGCAGTGTTGCAATTATTTTCAATCGCGCCCCCTTGATGAGATAATAGTGATTTTGAATATATATATATATATATAGTGGACCTGTGCTTGATGATCAATTCAATCGTCAGAAAGTACTACTGATATTGGTACTGTTAGTTTTGCATGCTTTCCATTTCCCATGGGCCACGGCCATGAAAATTCTCTGAAATAGACCTGTTTTGTGCAGCTCTTGGTTGCATCCAACTTGTATGCATATATGCTTGGGCATTTTCATGATGGGGAGAGAGAGAGAGAGAAGATATATAGTTTTTGTTACTTTTGTAGGTTTTGTGCTTATACTTTGCCACCACACTGACTACTGGAAAAGGGCTCGATCGAGCTTTGCTTTTTGCTAGACAGCTACCCTTTTCTTTCTTTCTTTCTTACTTTATTTTTTTTTTTGTTTTTGGGTATTTAATTATTGTGGTTATTATTGTGGAGGTTGATAACATGGATGAATTCAAGTAGAATATCATTACAAACGATTGCCAATAAGTAGACACAAATAATTACTCTACGTGCTATTTTTTTGTAATGGTATTATCCTAATCTTTTTCCTTTTCCAAAAAAAAAAAATAATAAATAAAATTAAAGAATTGCAATGGCATTATATATGATTATTGCTGTTATTATTTTTAGTATAATAATTAGCATAACCTCTTTGGTTGTTAACAACGTGTTTAAAAAGTGATTGGAATTTCCTTTCTAGTAAAGAAATAATAAGTTGCAATTGTCATCAACTTGATCTGTTCAATTATATTTATTGGTATAGTATAGTATTTTGTTTGTTGGTAAGATCTTGTTTTGAAGTGCAAGTTAACCAAAGTCATTGAAATTCCATTAGTTGAGCTGAATGCTTTAATTTTGATAAATTCTTGCTTAGAAATTAATAATATTGTAATTAAGCAAGATACGGACTATTTTCAAATTAGCACATGTTCTCAAGTCCCTTGCTTAGTCCTATGAAATAAAAAAATTTAGTCAATCAAATTCGTGATAGATAAGTATATCAACTCAGTCATGCTCTTGCTTATGCAATCCGCAACAAGAAGGTCTAAAAAGTCCACCAAGACTTGAAGATGATTAGGAAATTCTTGATGCAACCAAAGTTTTGACGTAGTCCGCAAAACCTTTTTCTTGTGAAAGCTTCACTAAAGAAAAACCCTACACTACTAGCCACGGATCAATTGTGCTTTTGTAGGGAGTTTTTAAAAGTGTCTTTTCAGTGCATATTGAATAGGCATGAAAGACACTCGTAGAAACTCCTACGAAAGCACGAATGATTCATGATCAGTGTATTTTTCTTAGCGCTACTTGCTGTTCTCTCCTTTGTTTTACACTCCATGTTTTGCAGGTCATGTGACCGGTTGTTGCAACGCTAATTGGACTTGATTGATTAAGATATGTTTTAGTATTTTCAACACAAAAAAAAGTTGAGCTCCTATTGTGAAAACTATTGAGTTTTAAAAAGAATATATCCACTTTTGTTATATGGGCTTATGTAGGTAAACAACTGGACAAAGCCCAATTAAGATAGCCAATTCAAAACGACTTCTCCAATTAATCCCTTTTTTCACGAGCGATGAACTAAGTTTACTAACCATATGAATCGTGAATTAATAAGCAAATTGTAGCTCGATCTAATTAAATTTTGATGAACAATTTATCCCCAAAAAAAAAACAAAAAAAAAAACGCACGGTTATCATGAAAAATGGACAGCCATGCATGCAAATGTAGAGCTATTCGCTAAAGCTATGGCTCTTTTCTATTTTCGTTGTTGAAGACTCCTCATTGATTGATCACATTGTTCATCTTCCTCTGCCAAGCCACGGTTTCTGTGGTCGACTGGTACACACTCTTTCCCTGACCGAGTCCACAACAATTTGTCTGTGACGGCACTGAGAGCTACAAAATGCCCGCAACGAACTGCAATATTCACATCAACAATTAATATTATCGTTATTCTCCATAATGTGTTAGAAAATTAGCCAACGTGGAAAGACTGTTATACGTAGAATCTATGCTCTAGTGATTACATATTGTTTTTTCCATGATTTTCTCAGCTACCAAACACAAACAACTATTCAACCACCCATTTACATCACTTTCAAAAAAGAACCAGACCAGATGTATCAACATTTGTCAAGAAAGGGGTGCCTTAATTCAATATGTAAATGGCGGAGCTATATACAACTAGGCGTACCTGTACATATAAATGTTATCTTTCTCGCCAAGGATCTTTCTGCAGTAGTTACATCTATCAAGGAAATTGCCACTCTGCCCTTGGCCGTTCTCCTTCATATTGGGCGACCATGCCGGTGGAGACGCATCATCCTCTTCCATGGGAACATTCTTGGGATAGCGCGGTGGCTTCATCTGCAGCTGCTGCTCCGGAGGTGGCAGCGGCAGGGGCTCGTGGAGAGAACTCAAGTCGTAAAAGCTAGTTGAGGAACGAACAAAGCGCAGGCGTTTCCCAGGCATTTTTGGTGTCAGCCCGGTTTTACACAAAGAGAATAAGGGTTTTGGTCTTTTAGTGTAGAGAAAAGATTGGATTGGGTAGTAATTTGGGTGTTGGAAATGGGTTGAATGGGGAGATTTATATAATGATAGTTAGTCCTCCAACTGTATATATAAGTTCTCAGGTTGAAGTCTTCCAACTGTTTACGCGGTATATACATCTACACTACATATATAGTTAAGAAGGGTGGGTTTTCATTTTAACCAAGAGTTGTGGTTCTAGCTAGGTTAAACCTACAAACCATACAAAAACTCTGTGTGCTATTTTTGGTATAACTAATAACCCCTCAGTCAACAAGAAAAACTAATGACGGTTTTTAAATAAGTTCGTTTCTCTAATTCTATTATTTTGGTATAAAGTTTTTGTATACGCATGTGTGTTTACCAAGATACGTCTTTACGCACAACGTTGAAACCAATGTGATAAAACATATTTGTGAGAAAATTAATCCAAGTTTCCAACATTACCCTTGATTTTTTTTTTATTATTATTAAAGTTATTAATATGAAGAGTTTTTTTAAGAGTCAAAAGTGGTATTTAAAAATAATAATATGGGTAACTTAGTCCAAAAAAATTACATTAAATGCTTTCCCAAGTGGGGTGAAAAATTTCGTAAGGTGAGACAAGTGTATGAAATTTCCCCTATATGGGAAGTCCATACCCATGAGTCCAGAATTGCATTTCCAAGAGTGCACTTACCAAATATGAAAATGCAATTTTAAACTCATTCCCAATGTCCTAAACCTTGAAAAAACAAGTATAAAACCCTAGACCCTTCGTATATCTCTTTCTCTCTCTTTCTCTCGTCTCAAACCCTCCTCCCCCCTCCTTCTCCTCATCTTCTCTTCCTTTATTAATCCCTCCCTCTCCTAGCTTGCTGCTCTCCTCTGGATTGTGGAGAAAGTGGAGTTTAGGGGGTGGTTTAGATTTGTACCAAGATCTACCTAGATCTTGGCTTTTTTGGCCATATCAATTTGGATCTTGGGTTTGTTAGGCTGTTTTTTGTTTGTTCTTGTTGTAGGTAGTTTGGCTATGACAGCGGCAGTAGCGGCGGCACCGACGACAACAGTTTTATGTGTCTTCTTTTTGGGTCAGCCTTCTTTCAAGCCATAGTCATGGGCTGGGGTTGGCTGTTGTTGGTTTTCAGTTTATGTTTTGGTCCAATAAGTGCATAATTCGGTTGAGTTTGATGCATGGTTGTGGTTTCTCTTTAGGAGAATTTGGATTTGTAAGTTGCGTTATGGGTGATGTACTTGGTTATTACATATTTGAGATGATTAAGCCCAACTGTCTGTGGCCCCTATGTGACATTAAGTTGGCCCTACGTGGCTTTAAGTAGAGGTATACCATATAAGTTTGATGTTGTGATTGGATCCCCTCTTTTTTTTTTTTTTTTTTTTCACATATGGAAGCTAAAGTCCTGCTTTCCTTCGTCAGAAAATATGAACATAACCCACCCAAACTCTGATACTTAAATATGCATTCTTATTTTCTAGTTTCATGCCAATCCATGTCCTTTCTTTTTCCTTCCCCACTACAAATATAGAATCTTTATCTTTTTCCGTTTTGGCTAATTTGTTTTCAGATTAAATCAATATACTTCCTTCTCAGAAAAACAATAGAACCTTCAACAAACATAGGTAGGTGTCATTACTCACAATACAGAAACGGATTCCTGATTGAGAGAAATTTGGAGAAATCCCGAAGATGAGATTGGAAATGAAATAACATAGTTTATTTGAATATCAGAGTGAGAGAAGAAAGCAAAGCGTAACCAACTTTCTTTATGATCGTGGGAATCAAAATACAATGAGAGTTCTTCGAGTTTCAGAATTTGGGTTTTGAGGGTACATATTTTTGAAGGAGTGTTAAAACAGCCTTTAGCTTTTGTTTGTCAATTTTTTTTACTAGCGTAAGTGACATGTTTAGCTTTTAAACCTTTGATTGTATTTTAATGATATGGCAGTCTTACATTCAAAGTCAAGCATATCCTAACAGATACAATCCAGACAAAGAATCTGGATCCGAAGTAGTAATGTGGCCCTTGCCTAGTATAGTTTAACAATTTTTTTTTTCTCAATTGAAATAGTTAATTAAAATAATTGAATCAAATTAAATTTAGAATGGCAGGAGTGTTTAGTTAAAATTGTTTTAATAAATTTCTATTTAAATATTGAGTCACATCCTTGTTTTCTTGTTTTGTTTTAATTGTTAGATTAGATGGAAAGTTAAGTGGAGGCGTGAACGTGAGAGGAATTAGATATTACAACAATATTATCAATGAACTCTTACGCAATAGTAAATCCTCCCACCTTGATCATGAATCATGATTGAATTATCAAGAGTTACATGCAGTCATAAAATATCATTGATTCAAAATTTTAATTTGCTTTACTCATCATGGTACATGTATAGGTATAAAGTCATTTGTCACACTCTTTCATTGGTATCTTTCTCAAGCTTTAGAAAACAAATATAGTGGTTTCTTAAGCCCTTGTATTGTGTAAGTAAACACAATTTATGCCCTGAATATCATTGGTCATCTAATTAAATACATATTACCATAACATACACATCTTGTAATGGGTAAATACAACAACCATTTTCGGGACTACGCATATCTTTGTTTTAAGGAATTTGGTGATCGAGTAAACAACTTAGTCACGTTGAATGAGCCATATACCTATAATAACAATGGTCATGCATCTGGGGCCTTCACACCAGGACGATGCTTAGCTTGGCAGAAGAAGAACTGCATTGGAGGGAATTCAGGTATTGAACCATATTTGGTGGCATAACACCTCCTCCTTACTCATGCAGCTATTGTGAAATTGTACAAGACTAGATATGAGGTCGTGTTAATTTGTTTCTCTCTTTTTTTTGCAAGAATATTGGGTATTCATTGAGAATTCTATACGAGCCACTGTTATTAATTTGTGTAATGAAACAACCCTTTTTATATATAAATAAACCAAAATTATTCTCCTTGTGGGGTTTTCTCAAAATGACGTGATAGGAATAACACTTGTGGCCAACTGCTTTGTGCCTCTCTCGGAGTTAAAACAAAATAAATACGTTACGAGCCTTGACCTTTATGTTTGCATGGCAAGTATATTGTTAATATTGATATGTACCAAATTTAATGTTTTATTTATGAATAATGTAACTCACTTACTAAGTTGGGCATTGAGGATTAGTGTTGACGTGAGTCTTCCTAATTAATCAATGAGATTTATTTCCTTGATTAATTAAGGGATTTACTTTCTTATTTTATATAATTAACATATCATTGTATACTTAGGAGATATTCTCCTAACTCCTATATATACATTCTTATGGAGAAGAATACAACTTAACTTAAAGTATTCAAACTATATTAATATTTTAACAAAAAATACATTTTTAATTAGCCTCCTCTTTTGTATTGCTTTGTTTTTGTCCGTGGACTACTATGTTTAATTTTAATTTAACAAAAATGGAAATTTGTAACTCAAATGATTAATGATTAAGAATCATACTCGACGTCCTCTTTTCAATTCTCCTGACCAACATATTCTACTTCCTAGTTAATTATTTGGAAACACTATCTAATGATTGTCGATGAACAACCACTATTTAAAGATCGTCAACTATTCAAGTGTCATTCACTAAAGAAGAGACCGATCAACCTCGTCCGGTTTCTAGAAGGAAACAAAAAAGCAAGTTAATTACAGCATATGAAAGTACAACTCATATATGATTTGTACCCAAAAAAAAAATATTTTAAAGTGATATATGATCAGCACCAAGAGATATTTATAATATTAATTTATTGTAGAGAATATGAACATATTAGTGGAGGGGTTTAAATTTCGACATTTTTCATTAATCAGGCAAAGTTCATATCAGATCGGTTTAACTTTAAAATTGCGGTCGAACCTATTACAATATAACAATTTAGTTCGGTATGGTTTTGAAAAGAAAAAAGAAAAAAACTTAATATTGGGTTTTATGCTCAAGAAGATAAAATTTCTTGAAAAATCGACTAAAATATAATTGACTTCTCAAAATATGAGTGACTTTCCAAAATATGAGGATCACACCAAATCAGTAGTAGTTATAAAATAATGATATACAAGCACATGCAACATTGGCAATCATCTGTGCACGAATTAGTTGACAATAATTCTAATTGACCTATTAAATCATTTCTATACAATTTTATCATTCAAAGACAAAAAGGGGTACTGATATGTTAGTTGACAATTGGAAGGAACAAATTCCTACATGAATCAATATATCCAACTCCTATGAATCTGACTGATATGGGCATCTGCAACTCCTCTTTTAGAAATAAAAAATCAAAGTGAATAACAAAAGGGAATGGATTATTATACCGAAATATCTCTCTTGAATTTTATGCAAATTTAAATTGAATTGAGGTTCGGATTTGAGATTAAAAAAACACATATAAAGAAATGAATTTTAAAAAAAAGAAATAAGAAAAAGAGAAGATATTTAAGAACTGAAAGTCCAAGTCTAGATATGTTTAAAGACATGACTCTGCTCCAAGCCACTCAACAAAATCTAGGTTTCCTCAGCAGCCTCATATATACCTTCGTCCAACACTCAAGCTATAGGAATCAAAATTGCACAGTAATTAGTGAGTTTTATCATAGCAACCGGCCAAGTTCCAAAACAGGTTAAAACATAGCATAGCAGCATAAAATTCATAGTGATTGAAGTTGACATCTATGACATTCTGCAAACACGTTGAGACACTAACAACACATAGAGAAGCCACAACTTGTAGACTTGGAGACTTGGAGACTTGGAGAATGGACTAATTATAAACGGTCGTCGTGAAAACCAATATTTGACATCTTGGAACTTGGCATGTTGTACGGACGATTTGTTTTCCGTGTGGGAAGGGGGAACTAGCTCTATATAGTTTTCCCAATGAAAGGCAATATTATCTTTGTTT